GTGTAATTCTCTAATAGGTAACAACTGGGGAAAGAACACTGAAATTCACTGGTAAGGCATGGAAGTGATGGAAGTGACCAGCAAACAGACATCTTGGTCCATGTCTGCTTTGATATAGTATAGTACAAAGACAATGGAATATACAAGGTGTTTCCAGACTTGGGCCCTGTTCCTGGCTCCACTATTAATTTTATTTGCAGCCTTGAATACATCACTTAATCTTTCTATGATAAATTTATCAAAATAACTTACTGATAACTAGCATATCTGTTGAGAGCTATTTAGTATTAATTAATTATCAATTAGGTAATACTAATTAAGTATTAATTAATACTTAATTATTAATCTATTAATAATTAATACTAGTGGCTCAATATAATAGGAAGACCGAGTCAAGGAGTCTCAGTAAATTGGATTGTTCCCCAGACCCTACACCCTGAAACATTTAGGTACGAAAGATCTGGCAATCGATTCTCAAATGAGTGTCCTCAGTTAACAATTCCTAGCTGTCATATGGGCCCTTTCTCTGTCAGATATCACCGAATTTGATATCAGTTTTGACTCTGAGGTTCCATCTCTCTGAGGAAATACACACAATACCAGTTAGGGGGAGATACTGTGTGTTTCCCAATGTCACTGCCCGCATGTTCAATGTCCCCACTATAGCAGGGGGCACTGTGGCTCCCTCTGTTCTCTCCAGTTACCTAGAGCCCCATAAGAATTATGTCCCTGTGTATGTGTGTGGGTGTGATTGTGCACATCGGTATGTGTCAGGGAAAGGGAAGAAATGGGAGTAGCAAAAACTAAAGGTGAGAATTAAAAGAAGATATTGAATCACAAACTGAAATTGACCCTTGGATATCAACACTTTCTGTGTTTTTGTGAATACAATACCTGTTTATTGACTAGAGTGAACCTAAGTCAGTTTTGAAAGGGCCTCTAATTATCAGAAACCTCCTAAGCCTGTCCCAGCCTCACCCCGTGTTCTTCTAACTTCTTTGCACCTGGGTTGCTGTTCTGAGCTTATGACGGTGAGATTAGGCAGCATGAGGGTATTACAGAGAGATAAGTCAGGATGCAAAGATCCTTTTGTCTTTTGCAAAGAAGGCAGCGGGGCAGCTGATAGGAACAGCATTCAGCTCCGTGAGTATTTCTGAACTTCTGGTGAATTTGAGCAGAGTAATTGAAGGGCTTTGGGGGGTTGATCAGGCTCCAAAAGAAAAATTGGAGAAGAAAACATGTTGGACCTGTGGGCCTGGGCTGTGGCTGGGGATGAAAATGGGAAAGAACATGAAGGAGATACACTCAGACCTTCTTGTTATGCCATGGGACGAGCAAATAAGTGAAAGTTGACTATTACAAGGTCACTGCAAAACTTGATTACTGAATTCATTTAGAAGGAGCCCAATAGTGACCTCCCTGTTTGCAGCTTCATAGCAAACAGTATTGTGAAGACGGAGGGATCTGTGGCACTAAATAACCACAGAGAAAACAGTTCTTTACTCCAAGGATGTGCTTGCAAACTTGGCCCAGGCACTGGTAGGCTGGTGTGAGTGTGAGGAAAAGGAGAAGGGGAGCGGAGAGCGAGCGTGAGAATGACCGCAGGGCAGTGCAGGTGGCTGAGCCTTCTCCCTTTGAGGTCAAAGTGTTTGTTTGTTCCATTCTGAAGCAGGGTGTGGGCTGGATTTTTGGTAATTTTTTTTTATGGCTTTGGTTTGGGTCTTGCTTTGCTTTTCAAATTATTGATTTTCTCTGCCTCAGCAGGACCCTGGGTGATATTTATTGGCTCAACCCCAACAGTACTTCCCTCCCTAGCTCCTTCCAGCCTGTTCCTTAGTCCACTGACAATGGCCTTGTCTATATCTTTGCTGAGAAACAGAGAATTGGAAGGGTAAGGTGGTAACAGCAGCATCAGAGAGACTGTCTCAGGAACTTTCTAAAACTGCTTTTCAGAGGATCATCCCCTGTCACTATATACGGCTGGGCTTTGCTGTATAAAGCAACACAAGATGATTTTTTGCTTTATACAAATCTTTAATTTTTGTTAAGGTGACCCTAACCCCAGTCCCCTACAAAAGTATGCCTTGAAATATTACTTTGCCGCATCCACTTATTTCTGCAGAGAAACAGTTTGTAATCTTCAAAAGGGGAAGGGCTAACATTGCTTTAAAAACAGGAAAATGTTCTGCCTCACAAAAGAATAAATTGCTTGATGCTTTTGGAGGAAAAAAATGTGAAACTTCTTTCAGCTAAAATCAAGTCTGATAATACATTTAGGGTTACTCAGCTCCAGATGCCCTTGGAATTTCTAGAAAAGTGTGGTCAGGATGAGGTTAGCCTTTGGTGATGTTTATGGGCAAACAGGACTGGCTTCCAATGCAGGGAAAGGTCAGAAGTGTTCTACCCTTCCTAAAGGTTTTGCAGAGAGAATTGGAGGGTAAATCTATGACAGAAACTGCAGAGGGATTAGTCGACTGTTCTGGTTACCTAGTGCAAATCCTGAGCACCATTAGGATCAAGGGATTAACCTGGCAACTGTTATGTAACTCTTTCTGAGAAGGCTTCTTTCATATAATGCATCAAACTCAGACATGAACATTGTCTAAGCCTAGAGGTGTAACTTCAAAATTCTGTAATCATGTAGAAGAAACCTGCAAGAAAAAAGGGGATGTATCATCAGGGGAATATGGATGTCACATGTGATTTTTAAAGTCTTTGGGGTTGCTGTTAGGGGTGTCAAAGGAATTCAAGGAAAGCTTCTTAAGACAGAATTTTAAGACCAGAAGTAAGTTAACAGTTGGGGTGTTGGAAGGAAGAAGAGGATTACCCAGCAAGGGCGGAAGACAATTGCCCCTCTGGTGTATGGCAAGGGCTCTTCAGTGGTTGGCCCAGAGGAAGGAGGTGCAGAGTCCGGGTGAGCAAGTGTCATAACCACAGATTTGTTTGCATGGCTTTCTTTTCTCTCACAAGGTCTAGCACATGTTTGCTCTTTTTTAACACTTTGTACCACTCTACTCATATCGTCTTCCTAAAATTTCCCCATAACCCTAAAAGGAAGGTATGATTTGATTCATTTTATAGATGGAATAAGACCCCCAGAGGATTATGAAATTTCCCCTAAGTCACATAGCCAGTTCTGTGGAGTAGGAACTTAAAACTATATCAATTTGATTCTAAAGAGTGTACTCTCTACCATGTTACCATCAAAGGGCAATTTGACCAATGAGGGTCACTTTAGGCCCTTACATTATAGAATTCTGGATCCAAAATAATTGAATCTTATTAGGGCTGCCAGATAAAATGGAGGATGCCAGTTAAATTTGAGTTCCAGAGGAAAATGACTTTCTAAAGTATAAATATGTACCATGAAACAGCTGAGATATACTTTACTAAAAAATATCACTTCTTTGAAATTCAAATTGAGCGGGGTGCCTTGTATTTTTTTATTTTTTATTTTTTTGCTGGATCTGGCAATTCTGACCCTAATAGGTTCTTCAGATGAGAGAAAAGAAACTTTTGATTTCTTCTACCTTGAAAATCCTGGGCAGTTCAAAAACCTTGATCTGAGAGCTGCCCTCTGTGACTGGCAGAGCTGGGATGTGTCAGTTACTGGTGGTCCACTCTGAGCACAGCGCTGATCTTGGCTGCTCACCAGCGATTCCCAGGGTCCCAACCACACTTGGGACAAGCACAAAGTTTGCCTGTCGACCAGGGGTAGAGAGGGCCCACAGAATGGGAACTGAATTTAGTGAGCAGAGGAACTGGCAGTGCATTTCCTAAAGCCTGAAAGCTAATGAGTTCTTTGTGCTCTGATGGAGAAGTCAAAGGGTCAGGACCTCATGACCTAAGGTTTACGGTATTTTTTCAGTTTCTTTCTTTTTCATTTTTTTTCCTTTTTTTTCTTTTCTTGAGACGGAGTCTCGCCCCGTCGCCCAGGCTGGAGTGCAGTGGTGCGATCTCGGCTCACTGCAAGCTCTGACTCCTGGGTTCACGCCATTCTCCTGCCTCAGCCTCCCGAGTAGCTGGGACTACAGGCACCCGCCACCACGCCCAGCTAATTTTTTATATTTTTAGTAGAGACGGGTTTTCACTGTGTTAGCCAGGATGGTCTCGATCTCCTGACCTCATGATCTGCCCGTCTTGGCCTCCCAAAGTCCTGGGATTACAGGCGTGAACCACTGCACCTGGCCTGTTCAATTTCTAGATTAATTTATTAACTCATTTGACAAATATAATATATATGGCATAATTACTATCCACCATGCACTGTTGTAGGTTCTGGGACTGGAAGGGCAGCCTCATGAAGCTAGTCCAGTAGGGGACAGCAGAAGGAATCACAGCATGAGCAGGTGGTCCAGGGTCCTGGCCAATCTCACCATCCCTGCTACTGGCAAGGATAATAATTTAGTAATAATCAGAATTTAAATAAGAGGAAAATCTTGGGGGTGAGGATAATAATTGCAACCCAACTCTGAAAGAAATAAGAAAACAGTATGAACTGGAAGTTATAGAATATGAGGTTTGAGGGATATGCAGTGTGGCCAGTAAAGACAGTCACTGTTAGCATGAGCCAAAGACTGTCAGGGAGGTCTGCAGTTAACAATATTAACATAGGCTGGTGTGATGAGTCATGCCTGTAAACCTAGCACTTTGGGAGTCTGAGGCGGGAGGATCAGTTGAGCCCAGGAGTTTGAGGCTATAGTGAGCTATGATTGCAATTGCACCACTGCACTACAACCTGGCTGATGGAGCAAGAACTTGTCTCTCTTAAAAAAAAAAAAAAAAAAAATTAGCATAAATCTGTAATGGGTGAAATAAGGAATCTTGTGGAGACAAAGCCCCCACACACCAGATTTTATGGAAGAGATGGGCTCAGGATAAGAGGTGAAAGCAATTTGGAGTTCTTTGGGGCTTTTCAGGATCTTCCTTCCAAGGGCAGTTTTGTCAACTCTTATGAAAGAAAAGAAGAAAGAAAATAATGTCATCCAAAATGACAAATTAATTGTTTCAATTTATCTTTTTCAATAATTTTCTTTGATTTGTATTTGAAGAATGGCAATGCGCATTTCTGTAGCCAAATTAAAGTCTGAGAACACCATATTGGATAGGTCCATGGTGTGGGTAGAAGAAAGCATCAAAGATTTGTGAACAATGGGGGCTGAAGAACCTTATGTCTGGACGTAGAGTTGAAGCACAAATACATTACGTAATCATCCTTCATTAACTTCTCTATGTGTGTGTGTTTTAAGGTGTGTTGAATATATTCATGAGTGTTGGTATCCCTGCTCCAGAGGTCCTCCTGTCCAGACAACTACATTGTCATCTCCCAGAACTACAGAAAAGCTTCTGGTTCATGTGAGGATTAAACAAAGTAATCTTATCTTAGACTATAAGGACTTGAAGGACTATAAAAAAACAGAGGCCATAAAAAATGCTCAATAAACATTTAGAATCAGGTTATTTTAGAGCTGGATGGAAATGTAAAGCTTAAAGAAATAGCAGGTGCTATAAAAGACTATAGATATCACTGAGTCCATTTTCCTCTCTTTATAACGGGTAGAACTGGTGGTCATAGAGAAGTACAGCATCATAATAAATTCACATAGAACACTTGTGGCGAAACTATTTTATTTATTTATTTTAATTTTTTAAATACCTAATGTGAAGCTTTAATTTAATTTAATTTAATTTATTTATCTTTAAATTTTTTTCAGTGGCAGATCTATGGGAACAGCATATCCACCTAGATTTTTGAGTTTTAAAATGTATCAATTGTCTGTTTACGCAACTGATAGATTGTGTAAGTAATATAGCAGAGTGTAAGTTTGTATTCCTTTACATTAAGTGCCTGCATTGATTTATACTCTGTTTTCTTAAAGATCCCTTTTAAAGATGATAACTTCTCCCCTTTTGTATCAACACAAAGTACTGAGCTTTCTTATTGAAGTACTTTTCTTCTCCAGCCTAAAATAAAGATCTAATAACCAATGGTCCCCATGACTTGAAAGATCTTTTTTTATCTTTCACTGTCTAAGGAGGCTGAAAGGGAAACGCTAGCTGCCTGGGGGCTGTTAAAATGAGTGACAACACTGCTCTGGCTGCTCCAGCTTCAAACCAGGGTCCCACCACCCCACGCAAAGGCCCTCCCAAGTTCAAGCAGAGGCAGACTCGCCAATTCAAGAGTAAACCTCCAAAGAAAGGTGTGAAAGGGTAAGACCTAAATGAAAAAAACTTTCTATTAGTTTCTTCTTCCCACAGGACGGCTTTTGTTTTGAGAAATTAGTGCTCATAATATTAAACAGACTTACAAAAATGTCCATCCCATCCTCTCTTTTCCTCTTTAACTCCATCTGTGTCTTTATCGCTGGAATTCTTTCCTTCGCAATTTCCAGGTCTGTGGCCGAATTTAACATGGCAAATGGAGGCTTTTTACAATAAACTTTGACTTTGCCTTCCAGGCTTTTTATGACCACTCCTCTTTACTGACATAACCTCTGCTTTAATCTGTAACACTGAACCACTGACCATTTCCAGAAAATATAGCTTATATTTATGTCTTCCAATTTTATATCCTCAGTTCTTTATTTTCTTCTTCCTCTCCTTGCCTAAATCCTATTCATTTTTCAACACACAGCTCATATGCTAATTTCTTTTTGAAGCTACCACTGATCTCTTTAACAAGCTATCATTACTTTCATGTTTGCATTTTGTACATTCAGCTGTCATAGCCTACATTATCGTATCTTATATTTATTTATTCGTGTCTATTCTCCGAGACTAAGACCACTCAGAAAATTTGCCTGTTTTTTTCTTAACTCTCTGTGCCTAACAAAATGCCTGGTATATAATGGATGCTTAGTTAATGATTTTGAATAAGTAAACAAATGGATGAATTCATCATTTTTAATGCCTCTTGTATTGCTTTCTCATTTCAATTTTTATTATAAAAAGTGAAATTTGACTAAGTTGTCCCACTGATAGTTCTTTCTGACTCTTAATTGTTTTAGCTTAAGTTCCTACAGGAGAGAAATCTCTCTCCACTAGGATATACCAAAACCTGCCTGAGTGACATTTTCTTTGCTCCAGTTCGGTGCAAACAAAAGGAGTCTCTCAAATAAAAACATTTAAACCTCTCCTTCTTCCCCTTTGAATCAAGAAACTCACCATGTGAGTGACTCCAAAATTCTTGTGCTCTAATCTCAGCTAATTTCGCCATATTCTTTTCCATAGATTTGGAGATGACATTCCAGGAATGGAGGGGCTAGGAACAGGTAAGCCATCCACTGATTTAAGTGAGAAATTTGCACTTGGAGTTCTGCCTTTTTATATGCTTCAGGCCTCAAGGGGCAGTTGAAAGTTATGAGAAATACCCAAGGCAGAAGATCTGTGAAGACATAGAAAGGTGGGGATTTAATTTCCCCTCCGAAATAAGTACATGTGTGCCCAGATACAAAAGCCCTAAAAGAAATCAGGGTAGGCCCAAAATTTCATAAACCTTCTTGTTTTGTCAAACAACCTTTGAGGGCATACAATGATAAATTACAGGCGTTTATGGTAGAAAGATTCTCATAATTCATCTAACCAAACTTCATTTTTCAGGAGAGAAATCTGAGACATAGAGGAATTGACAGTCTTTTGTCTGAGGCTACCAAGTGAACTATTGGAAATAAGGGTGAGGTCTGGAGATCTCTCCACTCTACCAGGCAAACCACTTCCTTACCAATTTCCTCTTTTTACACATCCTCTAGCACCCAGAGGAGGATCTTAAATAGTGAATGCCTGCAATATATTTTTAAAAATTGGCTACCAGATTTTTATGTATCATACGATGAATGCAATCACTGCTTTTTTTTTTTTTTTGAGACAGAGTCTCGCTCTGTCGCCCAGGCTGGAGTGCAGTGGCCGGATCTCGGCTCACTGCAAGCTCCGCCTCCCGGGTTTTTACGCCATTCTCCTGCCTCAGCCTCCCGAGTAGCTGGGACTACAGGCGCCCGCCACCTCGCCCGGCTAATTTTTTGTATTTTTTAGTAGAGACGGGGTTTCACTGTGTTAGCCAGGATGGTCGGGATCTCCTGACCTCGTGATCCGCCCGTCTCGGCCTCCCAAAGTGCTGGGATTACAGGCTTGAGCCACCGCGCCCTGCCATATTTTTTTAAATTAATAGACTTTATTTCTTAGAGGAGTTTAAGATTTACAGAAAAATTCATCAGAAAGTACAGATCCTATATGTCCTGTCTACCACCTCTCTCCCCTTTTACACAGTTTCTTTTATTATTAACATCTTGTATTAGTGTGATTATATTTGATGAGCCAATATTGATGCAGTATGTTAATTAAAATCCATAGCTTGTATTAGGGTTTTTATCCTTTGTGTTGTAAAGTTCTAAGGGTTTTGATAAATACCATGTACCCACCATTATAGTACATTCTGTAGTACATATAGTATCATACAGAATAGTTTTGCTGCCCTATGCTTCACCTGGTCACCCTTCTCTCTCTCTCTAAACCCTCGACATCCACTAATCTTCTGTCTGTATAGTTTTGCCTTTTCCAGAATGTGGTATAGTTCGAATCATACAGTATATAGCTTTTCTGGACTAGCTTCTTTCATTTAACAATATTCATTTAAGGTTTCTCCATGTTTTTATATGGCTTGATAGCTCAGTTTTTTAAATCATGGAACAATACTCCATTGTAGAGATAAACACAGTTTTTTATCCTATTGAAAGATACCTTGGTTGCTTCCAAGTTTAGCCAACAATGGATAAAATGGCCCTAAATATTTATGTGCAGGCTTTTGTCTGGACATATTTTCAACTCATCCAACACACCTTTGATAAATGGTAGCATTTGTAGTAATCAGTGTCCTTCCCAGGCAATCCTCAGTGTATCTTTCTGCAGCCAAATACCAATCCTGGGATCTCGAATACATTTTCCAGCCACATTATAAAGCAATTTTGCTATTCTCCTAGATTAACTGCTTCTGTATTTTGGCAAGGTGCATGCAAGACCAGCAAATTTGCTTTGGGATCTGGAAGATGTGCTTGACTCTAACCGTATATTTGGAATAATGTAATGAGGCTTATACTGAGTGAAAGTCTGAGGTCTTTGACCTGGTTCTGGTCTCAGCTCTACAACTATGTGGTTTTTGCTAATTATTTCATCTCTCTGGGTGTCAGCAAGCTTCTTTGTAACTGAAGGATAATAATATCTTACTTTCTAAAACAAGAAGCTGGATTAAAAGATGCCTTGTGATCATTTTTCAATATGTGATTGGATATAGGCAATTCAAAATGTAAAGGAATAGAAGAATAATTAGAGAAGAAACTGATCTAGATTGGTAGGGAAGACGATGGATACCTAGACCATGGAGATTCAAAGTGTTCCTCTTTTTCATCTTAGCCCTTGGCCTGACTAGAATTCCACTTTTGCTTCCTCCTTAGTGGTTGTGGTTTGGGGAGACTCTGTGTGATCAGTGGGCTGTACCCCCCCCAGGGAACCCCTCAGTCAAAAGCTGTGGGTCGCCACCCCCCTCAAAGAGGAAGCAGAATGAAACCAACAGAGATGCCTGGTGCAACAATTAAGCAATTGGTCTGATCCTTCCTGGGCCGCAGGACCACTCTAGGTAACTTCTCAGTCAGGGGATAATGAGCAGGAGAGAGGAGTGAAGTGTCTCTGCCTGAACGGCATCTTTCTGTGAAGAGACTTTTTTTGGGGTGAGGTTGGCTTACATACTCTTCCATCTCTTGCAGATATCACAGTGATTTGTCCGTGGGAGGCATTCAGCCACCTGGAATTGCATGAGCTCGCTCAGTTTGGGATTATTTGAGGTGCCAGAGGTTCTGCCACTCTCAACGACATCTGCTGTAATTTTGGTTACTTTTGCCCTGATGATCTGCCGGAGTCTTGAAATTCAGCTGATTGGAAGTGGTTTTGTTGACTTTCGAGGTCATTTCCTATCAGTTACTACTAAGAGTTCTCTTACTATCAGAATCTCTCTTGCAGTACAGCTCAAAATAGTGGATGCATTTCACACTTAACCACCTTTTCCTACCAGCTAGTTAGAAGTCATCAATATTTCTCTACATTTTGTTTATGTGTAAGCCCTTTAAATCTATTTTTGCTAGGCATTCACTATGATTAATAGGAGACCTTTAAGATTACATTTATGTCACTCCCCACCTCCTCTTATTTAATAAAGGAGATATTTACCTTGAATGTTGCTGAAGTTGTATTAAATGCTACATGGAAATATCTGATGCTGTGTTCTGAGAACCAATTAAACAAAGAAGGCACAGTCATACAGGAAATAAGTGCAGTGCTTACAAAACAGCATAGGATGAAGATTTGAATTCTGTAAGTTCGTAAATTGTATACTTTCTGGGTCTAAATTTGATTGAACTAGGTTATTTCAGAAGTCTCATGCAGCTCTAAGTTGTACAGTTCTAAGCTGGCGAGGAACTGGGATTTAAACTCGGAATTCTGACAATGTGAGCCTTCTTTTCAGTACTCTGGTTGAGGAAGGTTTCCTTCCACAGCATTCCCTCAATGAAATTATTTTGTCCAATGGCTTAATATGGTAGTCACGGGAGTTACATACATTGACTGCTTTGTGCACATCTGTAGTAAATCTAACCTTTAAACTGTCAACTGAAAAGATTTATATGCTATAAGGTTTAGACTCATATACAAAGGATAGGCAGTTGACCCTCTAAATAAAATGATGGTTTGCCTTACCCCTGAAGTTGTGTCAGTGTAATGTGCTCATACTTATCTTTTCCCAATACTTTCAAGGCAATTGTGCAACTCAAATGCTGCCTCTATGTGACTTGGATGCTTTGGAACTAACAGTATGAATTTCTTCATTTCAGTTTTGAAATCTGTGGTAAAAGAATGGAGTAAATTAACCGAAGAGAGAGACAGGATGATAGAGAAGCAAGAGATTCAGGTTCTAATCCTGTCTCTACCAGTAAATTGCAATATGATTTTGGGCAAAGATCTCACCCTTTTTACCTTCAAGTTTTCCTGAATCAGATAATCTAAGGTTCATGGTGGTGATAAATTCTGTGACTTTGTGGTCTTAGAGGAGTGCAGCACTCAAAAACTTGTGAGTGCTACAGGGCCTGTGTTAACCATTTTGCACGAATGATCAGGTTACCTTCTGGCCAGAAAATTAGAAGTACAAGAGAAAAACTGAGGTATAGATTCAAAAGTGGAACCATGACGTGCCAAGAGGCCAGTGGAAATGTGCGCTTCCTCCTTCAGCAGGAACTCCTGCCTCCACCCAGGCACCTGTCTTCTCTCCTGCCAAAGCTAACCCTTGCCTTTCAAGTCAGCTGCTCCATTTGACGGCCAGTGCCTTCGGTTCATCCCAATTAGGGAGGACTGGCTTCTTCTCCAGCTGGGTGAGACTCTGGTTCACATTTGGCTTACTTTTCAAATATTTCTTTAAAAATGAAGCAATGACATTGACAAAACAGAATGCACTCAAAAGAATGTATCCAAAGGCTACATAAAGAAGGATCTAGAAACTACGCTACATGAAGAATTGTTGAAGGAACTGAAAACATTTAGCTGAGAGAAGAAAACGTTCATTGCCAGCAAATATTTGAGGAGTTGTAATGGTCCACAGCTGTAACAACCTGAATACACCAGATCTTTTTAAAAAGTAATGGTGAAGGCTGGGTGTGGTGGCTCACGCCTGTAATCCCAGCACTTTGGGAGGCCGAGGCGGGCAGATCACGAGGTCAGGAGATCGAGACCACCCTGGCCAACATAGTGAAAACCCGTCTCTACTAAAAATACAAAAAAAAAAAAAAAAAAAAATCAGCTGGGTGTGGTGGCGTGCTCCTGTAGTCCCAGCTACTCGGGAGGCTGAGGCAAGAGAACCCCTTGAACTGGGGAGGCAGAGGTTGCAGTGAGCCGAGATTGTGCCACAGCACTCCAGCCTGGTGACAGAGCGAGACCCCGTCTAAAAAAAAAAAAAAAAAAAAAAAAAGGTAATGATGAAGCAGGAAGAAGCAAACTTCTTTCATGCCAGGGTCTAGCATTTGGGGGTAAGCTGGAGTAGACATAATTTAAAGCCCTTCCAATATCTAGAATCCTATTATTTCTATTCATATCATTTTATTATTTTAAATAAGAAATAAGAAGCCCCTCAGTGTATAGACAACACATATGAAAGAGATAAAGTAAGTCATTGTCCTCATCTGAGTCCTGGCAGCAAAGAGATGACAACCCCAAACAGGGTAATTGAGGAAAGGTTTAACAAAGGTACTATTTACACAGGCTTTGGAAGAGTTAGTGGCAATCTACAAAGGCTAGTACAGTAACTTGGGGCTAGTAACAGCGTGGGGGCCATTGCCAAACCTGGGCCTGAAGCAACCCTGAAATAACATTTCTAATACTAAAGGAGGGGCCCTTGACAAGGCTGTGGGATGCAGCAGAGGGACATAGTTAACATACAGTGATCCTTTAAGTAATCAGGAGGTAAAGGGGTTGTTCCTCCTTCCAGTGTTGTCCTTCTCCCCTTCTCTACTTCCCTGTTGATGCCTCCCCTTGGTTAAACCCAACTGGAAATCAGAGGGCAAAGAATCTCTTTAATGCAGTCATTAAAGTTCACCTTCTCCAGTAACACGTAGACACAGGGAGGTGAATAACTCACACTGGGCCTTCTAAGTGGGGCAGGGGGACAGAGAGCATCAGATAAACAGCTAATGCATGTGGGGCTTAATATCTAGGTGATGGGTTGATGGGTGCAGTGAACCACAATGGCACACGTTTACCTGTTACCATTTACCTGCATATCCTGCACATGTATCCTGGAACTTAAAATATAAAATAAAATTTTAAAAAGTTCACCTTCTTCAGCAAAGAGCAAGTGGAGAGGGTTGGAGAGTGGATGTGAAGAGGCAAAAAATATATATTTCCATTACAGCAACAGTATTGAAGAGCAGATAGTATTTGTTAGCCAGTGGTTTTTAGTTGGAGTTGGGAAATAGCATGCATATGTCTAAAACCTACACAGCTGATTCTGATCCTAAACGCTGGAGTGGAGGAAGAGCAGTGTTAAATAGGAAGAACCCAATAGGCAAAAGAGAACAATAGCAGAAATAATTTATCATACAGTTTAAGGGTTTGGGGAATTAAAAAAAATCTTCAGACATTTTTCTGACAATAAGAAACACTGAGGGTGTCTTGTTAAAAACACATAAAATTTGGGCCTCACTCCAGATTTTCTGAGTAAGAATTTCCGAGGGAGAGATATTGAAATCTATATTTTTAAATAAGGGCCCTAGGTTATTCCATTTGTGCCAGTTCAAAAACTCTGATGTAATCCAAGCCTACCTTTTACACATTAGGAATTAGCTAATTCTTAACTTGTTACCACCCAGTGATCCAGTGACCAACTTAACCCATTCTTCTTGCCCCCAATACCACATGTAATAAGTGGGAGAACAAAGGCTAACATGTATGTGTTCTGACTCTCACATGGTTTTGTTGGCTGATAAAATAGATGTGCCTCACTACTCTAGACCTAACCCAGAGGATGTCAGAGAGCTCAGGAGACAAGGGTTGGACTGATGCAATTCCAGTAAGATAGAGCAGGACAAGTACCACAATTATGACCACTGCCTCACACAATCACCATCCCTCCATAGCCTGTGTCACACTCCCTGGCCTCTGCTGCCTCCTCTAACTGGAGTAGGAGGAAGCCAGGGAGGGTGAGAGGTGGGTGGAGGCAGGAGCTGGCTAATCCTCCACCTCTTCCCTGTTTGTTTCAGCATTGGGTAGAAGTTGAGATTAATGGTGTGGGTGAGCTAGGCAGTGACTCCCGTTCTCCACAGACCTCAGTCACACCACAGCCAGACAGAAAAAGCAGTGCATAAGGAGAAAATGTTCCTCCTGAGTCTCCACCCTAGCTGAATAGGCACAGTGGTCCAAACAATTGCCACTGTGCAGTTGACCTGTGCTGTGAGAAAGCAAAAATTATCATAAACAATTTCATAAAACAAAGGAGGAGGAGTTTCTCAACAACTAAAGAAGTGGAGGGAAAACACACGCACAGAGGAATAATCAGTTAGACCAATATTTAGCACAAGAGAAAAAAGTGATCACACAAGATCTAGCGCTATAAAACTAATATAATGAGAACTGTGTAAGTATGACACTGAATTGTTTTCAAGGGGGAAATGGAAAGGAACTATGTTTTATAAAAGGCTAGAGGGAGACGCTTGTACAGGCCACACAATTGTGAGTATGTATAAACTAGCATGATGCTTTTTGCAATATGAGGGCAGAGTCAGATTGTTGAAAACTGAAATTCAAAAAAGCAACAATCAAGTTGATTGGCAACATCAGTCACACTATCTTTTTTTTGGCAAAAACAATTGAGAGGCCTGGGTTCTGCCTGGATCTGCTACAAAGTACCTGCTAGATAGTCAGCTAATTCACTTTTCTTCTTCGGCCTCAAATATTTGAGAATAAAACAGGATCTTGCACATAATGATTGCCAAGTTTCCTCTCGGTAAAAAATTCCAAAAAACAAGTAATACATCTAAATATATTTCAACTGTTCCTTTTAGACCAGAAGACCTAAAGTACAGAGCCTCAGTTTCCAATTATTTCCAGAGTGCTTGTTTAACCCTTTTTTCCCCCCGACATTTCTGCAGGGTCCAATAATAAAGTCAAATCGTGTATTAGTACTGCCACCTGCTGCAGCAAATAAGCACTTCAACACTTGGAAGACAACCATTTCTATTCGACTTTTCAATCCACGTAACTAGTTGCGAATTCCTTCCCATCCATTGATTGACCAATTTAAACTGTTGCATTGCTTGGCCAAGGAAAAGTAATCCATACAGAGGATAAACACTAAAAGGGTATAAAAGTGAACACAGTACAAGATCAGTCTTGTTTCCACCCAGTGCCCTACATCCGTCTCTCATTCTCAGTCAACCCCGGTTATACTTTTTGTGAATCCTACCAGAGACATTCTGTGCATAGACACACTTATATGTATACACTTTTTTTGCACAGTAATAACACACTAGATTTGCTATTCTATACTATTATTGACATATTTTTTTTGAAGGTAACTCTATGTCTGTACATTTTGATATACCTCATTTTTTTAAGTATCTGCATATGTTTCATTTGTATAATTGAGGTCTAATTCATTTGTCCGGTGTCATATTGATGGAAGTTTTGGATATTTT